GTCTCTGTCTCTGTCTCTGTCTCTGTCTCTCTCTCCCTCCCTCCCTCCCCCCCTCTCTCTGTCTCTCTTCATTTTTTCACTACCCATTTGCTGACAAATGAACTTCTTTCCACATCCTCTTTTATTCTCATAGGAAAAAGGGATAGGTTAGGGAAGACTACATTGGCAATATTTTAAATAAAAATATTCAGCTAGTTTGTATAGTGGTTAAGGCACTAGGCTAGACATGGAGAGATTCTGAGTTCTCATTGTGCCTTAGGCAAAAAACCAGCTGGGTGACCTTGAGCCAGACACACTCTCTCTCTCTGCCCTAGGAAGCAATGGCAAATCTCTTCTGAAATCGTGCCAAGGAAATTGCAAAGAGTTGTCCAAGCTGTTGCTAAAGTCAACACTGATTGGAAGGTGCACAATAAACAAACAAACATATAATGAGAACTTCTCTACAGTATTATGCCGTTTGGGGTGATATTTCCTTCACCTCATGATCCCTTCCATGGTAACCCAAATATACCTCCCAACTCTCTATAAAGGGTTTTCGGAGAGCGTAAGGATTTAGAACATGTGCGAAAAGGGAAATTACGGTTTTCAATAATCAACTTGACAAGAAACATGGAAATTGCTACATCATGCTATACCCTTTAAAGCAGACTTCCACACATCTGGATGTCTTTCAGATGTGTGGACCTTCAATTCCTATAATCCACTAGTTAGGATGATGTTTGTGTCTCTTGGAGAATTCTGGGAATTGAAATTCATGAAATATGGACCATTGTCAGTTTTGGATTGGTTACTCTAAAAAGTGTTTTTCAGCTAATAATACATTTGGATTCCATCTACCTCTATCAAGAATATATGGCTTTGTTTAGATAAGCATGAATTTAAAAAGTGTAGCTCCTAAGAACTTACTTTGAATGGCCTCTTGTACCCAGCCGCCTAGTGGTGAGGAGAGGAAATTTCTGGCGAATTGTCTAAAGAAAATGTCAAATATTAAATAATTGAAATTGGTAAATTTATTTTTGTTTTCTTACAATATCTGTTCTAATTGGCTCTTCTATAAGTGATTAATTATGTAAATTCAGTGATCAGTGGCAAAAGAATATTAAACTTAGAAAGTGGAAATTGCAAGAAAATATGATCATGTTCCCATCAAAGGTATAAGATACCCAATATTACAGAGCAAATAGAATACCATCTCCTTGGAATAGTATAATCCAACCAGTTATACTATTCCAAGGAGATGCTATTCCATTTGCTCTATAAAATTAATAGGACATGATATCATAAAAGCTTATCAAAGGTACATCATATTAAACAAAAATATCTTCTCTGAAATTCCCTTCCTAAAAAAAAACATTATTCTTTCTGATACAATTTTTAATTTCCCACAAAATTATTTTAAAACTCAGTTTTATTAGAATTTGGCTTTATTAAAATGTATTCACATTGAATTATCGTGTCATAAACTACTATTGGAAGAGATAAATGATGGAATGAATGAATGAAAATAGAATGATGCTTAGAAACTTGCTTAATATAAGAATTCAAGCAATATGCCTGTAGAGATATGTTTCTTTTTGTACCAATGGGTAGGTGGACAGATGGATAGATAGAAATAGCTTTTTGAATTATACTTCTTTCATTCTACAATGCTATTGTAGAGGTGAAGGATAGTGACCAGTTTTGTGGATCAGAATTCAATTGATGAAAAATTTAATAAGAGAACACATCTACATTACAGCTTCATATACATGCTCTGTAGCTCCACCCAAAGAATCTTGGAATACAATTTGGAATACAGTTTGATTTGGAAATGGCCTTTGATAAAACTGGAAAAAGAATGATTATCAGTCTACATGAAACAAGTGATATTGTTATCACAGAGATTTTCAGTAAGATTTCAGGGATTTTTTTTCTGTAGATGAACTAGGTAGCAATTCTCACTGTTATGTCATTCGAATGCAAAATCTGCACATCTAAAAATGTACCACTCAGTTCTAAAAATGCTCTGGTTTTTTTATTACACAAAGAACAAGAGGTCAAATAAGTTTGCCCAATCAAAACAAGTGAGGCTTTTAGCTCTTTTAGTATCATTGATGAAACTACCAGAATAATAGAGTTGGAAGGGACTTTGAAAGTCTTCTAATCCAACCCCCTGCACAAGCAGGAGACCCTATATCAGGGCTGTCAAACTCGCAGTCCGCGACCTGGATGCATCACATGCTGGCCATGCCCACGCCCAGTTTAGTAAAGGGGGAAAAAGTTGAGTACATCACATGATGACACCATGATGACATGAGTTTGACACCCCTGCCCTATAACATTCCAGACAAGTGGTTGTCCAGTCTCTTCTTAAAAGCCTGAGTGATGGAGCAACCTCAATATCAGAAGGCAAGCCCTTCATACATCTTAATACATACATTTAAGGCAAGCCCTTCATACATCTTAATACATACATACATTTCAAACCCCCATACATCTATAAAACAATTGCATTTCAAATAGTAACTTTCCCAAAAGCTGTGGGTGGAACTGTCCCTATCAATATAATAGCTAATTGAGAGAAGCAACTCTGACATTAAATGGAAATGCGATCGCAATCAAGCCTCCCACCTTGGCCCCTTGGTTTATCTAACCTGATACAGTCTAAAGCCCGGCTTTGAAATTTACTTGCACAGTGAGCATTTGAAGATGAAACAATAGTCTCTGCGTCAACAGATATCATAACCCAGCAATCAACTTTAAGGCAAATAAGGAGACAAGCAGTGAATAGAAAAAAAAAAGATAATCCTGCTATTTTCAAAGCTAAAACTATTTATAGTCAACTGTTCTCTTGGTTCTGAGTCATTTAATATCATAGGGCGATGTGAACCCCAAATTTCATTAAACTAATGTGTTTCAGTTTTTTAAAGCAATTGGAAGCGATTGTGGGTGTTTTAAAAAGACTGATCTCTGAAGCTGTCTTGGTATTTAGTTTCACCAGCTCCTAGTAATTTGGATTTGATTTGGAAAGGCCACCTCTCATGTTGATTAAATGATTTCAGCTTTTAAGTAGAGTAGATGTTGTGGGGAGAAGAATATGTACGATCAGCACTCTTTCCTCACAAAAGTTGCATTACTTTCAACTTTGCCAAGCTAATGATTTTCTTTCCAATATCCTACACTCTTTAAAGCAGTGTATCTCAAGCTTAGTGACTTGAAGATATGCCTGGAGAATTCTGCAAGTTGAAGTCCACACATCTTCACGTTGCTAAGTTTGAGAAACACTGCCCTAAGGTGACCTGCAAAGCTCTTGCTTCTGTATTAGAAAATAAAAAGAGCCACAAACATCCCCTCAGCAGCAGGATTTAAACTACTCTTAAGATGCATCAATTGCAGGTTTTCTCAACCCTGTTTTTGCAGAACAAGTCAGAGCTTTTGATTATATAACAAGGTCAAGGAAATATAGTGGGAAATTTCTTCTAAGATTTAATAAGGCAAGAAGATCAAATGGGTTAATTACCTTCCCAAATGTTGCAGCACAAGCAGGCTCAAGTTTCTCCTTCCTGCAGAAGTCCAGGTAATGAGTATAAAGGATGCATCGAGGCAAACAAACTCCTTCACAGACAATATAATTTTCTTCTAACCTGTAGATGAAAAAGAAGCCAAGGATTTTAAAAATGGTCCCTATAGCTTTGCCATATTTTTTCACTGTTACTACCAAGCTTATAATATTTTTTTAAGAAATTGCCTTCAAAGTATAAAATGCTTCAATTTTTCCCAGTACCTATTCATTCATTTATTCATTCATCCATTTCATTCCTTCTTTCAATTTCTATAGCTACCTACCCTGTTTCCCTGAAAATAAGACCTCCCCAGATAATAAGCCCAACCAGGCTTTTGAGGACATGAGCTAAAATAAGCCCTCCCCTGAAAATAAGTCCTCCCTGAAAATATTGCAGCATAGCAGCAGCCATGAAGTGACCATGCTCACCACCTCCTGCACCTCAAAAATAATAAGACCTCCCCCAAAATAAGGCCAAGTGCTTATTTTGGGGGTCAAAAGAAAATAAGACTTGGAGAGAAAACTAGACTGGAATTTCACTACATCTATAAAAGCAATTATTTTGTTGAACATAAAGTGGTTACTCCACATAGTATTTTTTTATTAGTTCCTTTACTAAAAATATAAACGTGAGATTCAGATGAATTAAAGCTGCAGTCATGTAGCTAAATAGATATAAGCATCAGAACAACCACATTAGCATTCAGCTGTGGCTGACAATTAATTTTTCCAATTGGTTTGATAAGTGCTAAGAATTTATGAGTCAACATCTTAACCGCTAATTCCTGCAAATGGTTGGCAACTAGAAAGAGGCAGGTAGAAAGATGAGAATTGGTCTCAGATTGGTTTAGACTTAGGTTATTATGACATATAGTATCTATTAGCTCAACTTTTACAGAATGCTTGTGTATATTTCCTAAATATATACCCTTGTTAGGTACTTCGTTATCAGAGATTACTATTGTTATTATGGTACATTTATATCCTGCCTTTGTTCTGTAAGCCCAAGGAACAGTAAACTGGGAGCTCCCTTCCCAGCATGACAATAGTGATAGGAGGACAGACCCTGAATCACCAAGTGACCTACAGGAGTGAGTGATGACTTGAATCTGGATATTTCCCATTCCAATCTTAAACTTTAGTCACACATGTTCACTGGCAGAAAAAAAGGCAATCCTGATGAATCAATGACTGTCACAAGGTAATTTTCCCAGCCCTATGATGAAAGAGGCTTACCATTGTTTTCTGGAATATTTTTCCTACTTCCCAAGTTTACTGCCCTAGGGTTTTGTGGCAGCCTTCCATACAAATGCCAACCAGCTAAACCTGATTCTGTTTAGCCTTTTTTGAACTCAGCCAAGGTACAATGTTAAAAATGGATGACTACTATACAGTAGTCTCCTAGGGTTGTATTAAAGGCCATAAGCAATAGTAGACAAAACATTACGTATTACTTCTTGGACCACTCTTGCAGAATTTTGCAATTTTTGTTCTGTTCTGTTCTGTTCTATTCTATTCTATTCTATTCCATTCCATTCCATTCCATTCCATTCCATTCCATTCCATTCCAACCCATCCCATCCCATCCCATCCCATCCCACTCCATTCCATCCCATCCCATCCCAAAAGGCCCAAAAGGAATATTGTTTCTAAAATTTAAACCAAAAGATGAACAGAAAAGTTCAGACAAATCAATACATTTATAACTTCTTTCCATAAAATACATAATCCAGTTAAGTGAAACTGTAGCGAAATATTTACAAAAACAGGTATTTACATTAGATGACTGAATTGCAATACTAACAATATATTTTCTTAGATTTGTTTTTATAAATGTTCCATTGATAGAGGTTTCACTTGTCTTGGATTATTGGCAGTTAACTTTCGTCTTTGATCACCCACAATGGGGGCAAATGACATTGTGTGACATTTGCATACAACCTCATTTTGAGATCATTGTAACTTCTATCAAATGACAAGATTTCTTTTTTCCCATGACAATACAGAAAAAGCTAACTAGCACACACTATATAGTAGAAAATAATTTCCCATACATTAAAGCTTCGTTGGTTGTTTAGCCTACCATTGCAAAGTGAGTTGTGTCTGCTTCTTTTTGTCCTTCATAATCTGAGTGATTGTTTTCTTTGGAGGCAAATATTTGCTCAGAGATTTTATCTTGCTTTCTTGAGTCTCTCCATCCTCATCTTCTGAAGAAACAGGTTCACTTCTGAAATGAATTTCTGTGTGCCAAAACAAAGGAGAATGTATGTATTTATCTACTTCTCTATCTTGCAGATTACATTAAATAATGCTATGCAGATAAAATTAAATACATTTAAATGGATCATTTAGTATTGGATGATATATCTGGGGCAACAGCTGAGAGATTAATCACTGGAAATGTTTAATTTATTTATAAATTTCTCTGATGATGCAAATGGAAATGAAGGAGGTAGGAAAAGTACTTTTTTGTCCATTTGCCTACTGTACAATGATTATCTCATAATTTTCAGGCTCCATATGTTTGATAACTTGGGGATATTTTAAAGTCTTTTTTTCTCATCCAAACATAAAAATCAGGAAAATGCTATTGATATTACACTAATAAAAAATATTTTACTGAGCAAATCTGATTCAGTATAGGACTCTTTGGCCAATACAGTATAAGAGATTGAGAAGGAAAGTAAACAAAAATGGCATGTATAAGCAGTGGAAGTCCCTTCAAGGAACACTATCATTTGACTATATGAACCCATAGTAAAATGCTATGTTGCTCCCTTATCAAGAGAATTCCATATGCCAAAACCTAAACCCAACAGTTTGTTGCCTGATGGCTTTGAGCCTTTAGATATTTAGATGAATGAAAAATTCTGTGTCACTTGGAAAATTACAAACTCCAGCATCATAAAACATTGCACCATATATCTGCAGGTAGGTAAATCAACAGATAAATACAAAAGGCCTCTGTGAGATCAAAGAGACTTTGGATATTTCCACACTTGGAGTATATATATGGAGATATATGGAAAGACATATGGATACATAGAAGGAAGATAGATGGATGGATGGATGGATGGATGGATGGATGGATGGATGGATGGATGGATGGATACATACATACATACATACACACACACACACATACACACACTGATAGATAAACAGATAGATAGATAGATGATAGACAAATAGATGATAGATAGATAGATAGATAGATAGATAGATAGATAGATAGATAGATAGATAGATAGATAGATAGATGATAGATGGAGATAGATGGAGATAGAGATAGATAGAGATATGGAAATAAGTCCTTCCTTCTTACGATCAGAGATGAGAAGCAAAATGATAAAGCTCATTTTGTATAACATGAAGAATATTAAATAACTGAAGGGGAAACTTTTGCTTCAAACATTCCATAAACACACAGTATATCTAAAGAATAATGACATTTCCATCTTTGAATCCGTTATCCTCAAACAAACTTCTTTTTTTGGTTTGAGGAACTTTACCCAACCCCTCTTCATCTCAAAGACTGACACAGTGCAAATATGTGTTTTCACTAAGACCATTGGGCTCAACCATTTGGGCTGAAATTGTTCCCAGGTGACTTTTCCAATAATTAAGTGTCAGGGAAAGCCAACAATCTGTTTATGCTGGAGCCCCTCCCCCTCCCCATGGCTGTCCACGGCTCAACCTGGCATCCTCCTTCAAGATTTGATGGATAATTCATAACAAGCCTTTCCCATCTTGCATCTTTCCACTTTGTCCCTATGATGTTCTTTTCCTCTCCAGGCCAATGAGTAAGGCAGATTTAAATCACTTTAATTGTTCAAGTGTCACTTTTTACTTTTATACTGTCCAAAGGCAGCATCCTGGTGGATAAAATTTTGCTCCTCCAATACCTTGGAAGCAAGACTGCACTTATATCTTAGGATGTTTTGCCCCCACGAAGATAAGTGAAGAGCGCTTGGATTCAACAGGGGGGCGGGGGAGGCCTAGAGTAGATGGAAATTCCCCAAGGGCAGCAAGGTACTTTTTAAAGGAATCAGGGAAGGGAAAGAGAAAGTGGCCACAGAAGACTCGGCTGAACCCAGACCTCTCTAGTTCTAGCCAGGCAAAGCAGGTTCCCCTCAGACCGAAAGTGGCGCAGACATTAACCTCGTTGAAGGCAACCGAGGCGCCCGGTTGCTTCTCCGCCCAGCTCCGAGCCTGTTCGAAAGTCGCCCTCACCTGCCTTGATCCCCTCGCGGAAGCCCAGCTCCCCGTCGGGGCGTTGCAGTCTGCCGCGTAGCGAATCGACCTCGGACAGCGGTTCTCCGGAGGGTGAAATCTGAAGCAACCCTCTGGAGAGCAGCTCGCCATAGGAGTCCTCCAAGGGTTGGCTGTGCGCAAAGGCGCCGTCGACCCTGGCCGGGTACTTGGCCATCGCCTCTTCAGGACTCGGTGCCTTCCCTGTCCATGGAGGGTCGGGGAAAGGGCCCGGGGCGCAGGGGAGGGGTTACCCAAGAGTTGGGATCGGGTGATGAGGAGGATCGTTCGGGAGCCAAGCAGAGGGAAGCGCAAATAAAGGTTCTGGGTAAAGATGCACGATGAGGGACGGACAGGTGGCTGAGGCCGGAGAGTTGACTCGACGATGGAGACGGGCGGTTTTTAAAACGCGCTCGGGCTCCAGTCCTTGACGACGAGGAGGAGGAGGAAGAGGAAGACAGTGGCTAGAATCAACCGCGGGTTGAGATCACTGAGACACAATCACTGGGGCAGCCGGGCCGGGCACAGCAACAAGCCCTGCCCACCGTTTGTCAAGAGCTCAGCCCGGACTGCCCCGCCTCAAATTTGCTAGAGTAAACTCCGACCCCAATTCTCTCCCTCCCCCTCCCCCAGCCTCCCTCATCCATGGAACGCTGTCTGGAGGTGGTCTTTCAATTTTTCTTGGGACTTTAACAGGAATCGTAGAAAGCAGGGAAAACCATGACAAGAGTGCTTCTGAACACGTGCAGAATCTCAGCAGCACGCTGCACCCGTCTGACGAATGTGGTGGATGGCTCTCAAAGTGAAGGTGTGTCTGAGGCTTCTTTTGAGCCTCAAAGGCCAGAGAGGGAAGTAAAATATGTGGTGGGCTTAAAACAAGCGCTGGTCCCTGCTTTCAACCCCAATCTGCTACAGGAACAAAGCCGACTGTGCATATAAGAGGGGAGGAGGAAAAAGTGGGATGGGATGGTGAATACTGCTTTATGTGTCATAACTGGCAGCAATAGATCTTTATTGTCAGATTTTGGATCCTAGGAAATGGTCACTCCTTGCATTGGGAAAATGGGCCCCAAGGGGTCCATTCTTTATTGCTTTTATAGCCCTGTCCATTCCCCACTTCTTACCATGCTGCTTGCCACCCATGACAAGAGTAGGGACAGAGAAAAGAGAGAAACCTCTCGTTTCTCTCTTCTGGATGGCAGACAAATGGAGGTGGGCACCGAAGAAAGGGAAGCGGGTCTTCTGACCTTTCTCATTTCCAACAGGATCAGTGAACTGCATCAGAAGAACCCTTCTCTCCCCTTGTGCTCTTGGCTTGGGGCAAAGGAGAGGAAGGGAAGAGCAATAGCAATAGCACTTAGACTTATATACCACTTCACAGTGCTTTTATAGCCCTCTGTAAGTAATTTGCAGAGTCAGCCTATTGCCCCCAACAATCTGGGTCTTCATTTTGCCCACTTCACAAGGATGGAAGGCTGAGTCAACCTTGAGGCTGGTGAGATACCATCTGCCAAACTGCTGGCAGCCAGTGATCAGCAGAAGTAGCCTGCAGTACTGCACTCTAACTGCACCACCACGGCTCTTATCCATTTACTGAAGAGAGGAAATGTTCCCTTCATGAGTAAGACCACCAGGTACATGTCAAGAGTACCTACCCAGCTTAGGTGCTACAATGCCAAAGCCACAGGAAGAAGATGTAGGGGTGGAGGAGGCACACCTTGATAGGCAAAGCGACCCCATGAGAAGGGAACTGGGGAAAGCAGGGCTTCAGCTATCACAGCATAGGAAAAATGTGTCTCTTTAGGACAGCTGGCACCAAAAAAAAAGACTACTTCCCCTCCATCTCTCCCTGCTTCTCCTTCTACCCATGAATTGAGAAGTGAAAGGAGAGAAATTGTTTGGTTTTTTGGCAAAGTGGGAAACCCTCACTCTCCTACTGGCAAAAGAAAGGGGTCCCTGCAATGAGGGGTCAGGAAAAAGGGAATGAGTGCCCACACCAGTGGTCCATAGTAGCTTTGCTGGCCCCATCCATATTATGATGTGCTTCAGGATTGGACGGAAAAATCCCACTGCTGCAGCAAGAAAGGCAGTTCAGGCTGTCATCTTGGCAGGTTGAGTGGATTGAATGTGACATCATCCAGTCATATTTTTGAGCTGTGTTTGCTGAAGCAAACTTGAGAGACCGCCTTCTGCCAATTACATCCCTGCGACCGATAAGATCCCATAGATTAGGCCTC